GCGCCAGCAGCACTTTATAGGTCTGCTGTATGGGACCACTTTGCATTTAGAGTGACCTACGATGACGGCGGAAAGAAAGTTGTTTATAAAAGTGCAACAGTGTGCAAGCTTTGTGCAACACCCCTTTTGCCTGTTTCTTATACTATTAATGTCCTCCTGCTGTTGGGTAAATATCATATCCACTGTGCTAAATGGAGAAATTCTAAACCTTCCTTTCATTGGTTTATGACTGACTTTAAAATCTATTTTTCTTCTCTTAAGATAAAAAATGACAAATATGCCAAAAAACTGAGACTTGATTTCTCCAAACATCTGCCATTTTGTTTTTATTATTTCTATGGATCTGTCTATGTTTGGTTTAAATGTTTGCTGAGATAAATCCCCTGTTAGTTATTTTACTTCTTTGTTTTTCTTTTATTTTAATTGATCTTTATCTGTTCATGTTCACCTTTGCTATCCTCTCTGAGAGTATTTTTTCATGTAAATGTTTGACTTAATAAAAAAAAAAGCGTCGTGCAACACGTGTTATACTATACAAGACATAATAGATTTTCCTTAAAATCAACATATACCGAACCAAAAACCGTGACCACGAAACCGTGAACCGAACCGAACCGTGGATTTTGTGAACCGTTCCACCCCTAGCAGACACGTCCTCCTAATTTGTAAAACCAGCTGCGATTACGGACGAATACGTATTTTTTATACCGATACATCGGTCTTTCTCTGTCTTGGTCTACTGAGTAATGCATTCAGCAGGCATGCTTTGAGATCACCTAAAGCAAACGCATTGCTGCTCCCTTCATTCACTTTTCCTCAATTATTTCTATAATGTTGATAAATGTTTTTCAGGTTAAATTTAGGCTTGTGTAACATCTGTAATCTTATTTATCAAATAAATGGAAAAAGAAAAAGCAACATGGGCTTTAAAGGATTTTGGACTTTAAAGGACTGGACTCATGACAAAATAATCTGTACTGACATTGGCCTTAAAAACTCAGTGTCAGTTGATCTTTACTAGTTAAGGTGGAACCATCATATTAAATGCCTCAAATGAAATAAATCTATTTAAGTGAATTTTAAATATACGGATATTTTAATCAAGTATTGAAAATATAAATTGGACTTATCGCCTGACGATCGCTGCAAATTTAAAATGTTTGCTTATTTAATATCTAATCTTTCGAAGCAGATTCATGAATATAATCAAGCATTTAAAAAAAGAGAAGTTTAGTCAGATGGTTTAACCAGGATAAACACGCTTTTAGTTCGGCATCGTTAGCTGTGATGTCGAGCAAACAGGAGCATCTTTAAAGCTCCCAGCTGCTGCAGATCTTGTTAAATAAAGTGTTTGTACCCCTGAACCTTTTAATATTCTGTCACATTGCCACTGCAAACACGTTCCATGTTGTGTTGGTCAACTAGAAAACACAGTGAAGGTTAGAACATGTGAACTGATGGTCTCACCTGATTCTGCATGCGAGGAGCTCCGGTAGCCGGGATCACGCTGCAGCTGCACCTCCTTCAGAGTGAATATAGACATGTCTGCAGAGGAGACAGAGTCGGTCACCTGGAGAGTTTGGTATAAAGCTCTTAGCAGCCTTCTGTGCCCTTTTCTTTTCATTGATTTAAAACCGTTAGAGATCGAGATCTCTAACGGGGGGAAATGGGGGCAGAAAATCAAGGGGGAAATGGGGGCAGAAAGTCTGCTGCTTTGGAATATCTTAAGCTGTACCTACTTGGCTGCATTTCTGCATCACAGTGTGATTACTCACTCTCTGGCAGCGTGTGCACGCGCGGCCCCAGGGTCCTGAAGTACGGCTGCCTCATTGCTTCATCAGCAGCGATCCTCTTCTTTGATTCATACTAGAATTTAGGTGGATTAAAGCAGAGAATAAGACCTAATCTGAAGTTGTTAAATGAAATCCTAATGTGGCTTTGAAGCATTTAGCTTTGTCTTCAACGTTCCATCCGTTTCTGTCAGGTGGTGTGACTCACTTTTAGAAAAGATGTCAGCAGTTCGATTCCGTCGTTATCCAGCCTAAATGGGAAGGTGGGGAAGAGGAGAAAGAGGGAGTGGGGGGGTCAGTAAGGTGGGCTGACTCACAGATGCTGGCGGCTGTGAGGAAGGAAACTCGGCCAAACAGAGTCAACTATTCCACAGGATTTCCTTACAGGAAGTGACAAAGAGCGCACACTCTTAACTAAACAACCTCAGCCACACGAACGTCTACGTCTAACAGCTCTTCTGTTATACCTCGGCCTAACCAGGAATATCTGCTCGTTCCCATTTCCAGCCATTAGTGGACTGCCAGAAATAAGCAGGAGGTTATGATAGTATAAGTCCAGAAGTATCAGGAAGATAACAGTGATAGATCTCGGTCCTACCTGGGTGCGTGATTGATCAGAGGCTGCTGCTTGTACTTGGAGAACTTGTGGGACCTGAACTCATCGATGGAGGAGATTCCAGGCCAGCTGTCTTCTGTGGGAGTGCCTGCGGAGGGACATTTAATCTGAGTCAGGCTTCAGCGCACCAGCTGGAGGGATTGTTTCATACAGTCAGGGGGGGCTACATGCATTAAAAGGTTAATGCTCCAAGTGTGGAGTGTTTGTTCTTCCCTTGTCACCAGGGGGCAGCACTAACCTAACAGTCTGAAGATGAGGTGCAGCTCGTCCTCCACCGTGGAGCCGGGGAACAGGGGCCGGCCGGCAGCCATCTCATAGAAAATGCAGCCCACTCCCCTGATGGGATCAGATTAGAGAGGGGGGGGTCACAAAAAGAAGCTGGGCTTAAACTCTCACCAACATTTGGATCAAGTTCTCAGGGCTTTCCAGGCTGGATGCAATCTGTCCATTATAAACCCCCCCCAAGAGAGCTGAAGCTTCTGATACATTCATGTTCGGTTTAATTAGAACCAAAAAGATTCACTTTTCTATATAAAAAAATGGCAAAAAATGTTTACAGTTTATAAGTGTATAGCGATTTATATGTCAAGGCAACAACACAGATGAGATACAGGAAATGAAGCACTTATATAGCCAAAAAGAAAAAAAAAATTCAAGCAATCTGATTCAATTTAGTTTCTTTTTATGACCCCATATTCTCTCTAGGGGGCGTCACATACAGCAGCTCTAATTAAACCAACCGTACAGACTGTCCAGTGCACTAAGTCACCAGCTTGCAGCAATCTGTCCTGATTGAGCAGGAGGCAGCGGTGGACAGAGAGTTTTAGATTGCATACAAACCATCAGTAAAAGAGGAAGCTCTGTGCGAATCTGAACCCTTAAAGGTATAATGGAGATTTTTCTTGTATTTTTTAAAGACCAGCTCTATCAACTTTTTAAAAAAATGCACAAGCACAACCCTTTACCTGCTCATAAGCGGGAACGGTTATTAAACACGTGCAAGAGCGTGCAGAAGCCCATTTCTCCTTGTGCACGCTCTGTTTAAAAGTTAAAAGTTCCTGTTCTCATAGCTCAGACAAGCTTACTGTGTCTCAACATCCACCATAACCCCTAAATCCCTCAATCACTATATAGAGCGGGGAAAATATACTGGACTTTATAGCAAACTCAGTTAACTGACCTTTCCGACTGATGATCAGTACTTTTTGCTCCCTATTGATGACGTAAATCCTCCTCATCTTTGTTATTAGTCGCTGCTGTCGGGTAGCGACAGCCTAAGGGTGACAGCAAATCCCATAATGCTTTTTGAGGAGTGCTCTTTATGCAAAGCATTCTGGGATATATCTGCCTTTCTTTTCCTCTCATACACTTTGTAGACACTTTTTTCTCTTATGATCCTCGGCCATTTTCAAAGAACAGCGGTGAGAAAGGTGAGCTTCAACAGCTGTCTGAAACCGTAGCTCACCACAGATATACGCCTGAAAGTGTGCATGCGCAGAAAAAGATGGCTAACGGGACGAGCATATAGGACGGCCTTACGTAAACATATCCCCGGAATGATTGACAATTAGGAGGACCACTTATTTAGATCATCCACCTGGAAAAATAAATCCGCCACTATACCTTTAACTTTAGCGTAAAAACCTGATCCTAAACATGCTACTCCTACGGAGAAACATAATGATGGCAGCATCATGCTGTGGGGCTCAGCAGGGTTAGGAAAGCTTTGGATGATGCTGAATGTAAGGTAACACAACAGTTTAGATCAAAGCTTAATCATGTGTTGGGAATAAATACTAAAATTTCCAGTTTTTAGTTCAGATTTAGTCCAAACCTTTAATACCCCTGCCTCAGTCTCCTTCTTCATCATACATCAATCAATAAGGTACATTATTTTGATATCTGAAAAGCTTCACATGCTTTTCCAAGACAAGGATAAGAGGTCACAATGCACCATTTTCTAAACCAGATTTAAGCTGCTTAAATCTCTGTTTCAGAGAGAATCTATCTGCCTGTTCCTCCACTGCGCAGACATACGGACCGGTCGCCATCTCCTCACACAGTGAGACCCACTCACCACATGTCTATCTGCGTGGAGTATTCAGAAGAGCCCAGCAGCACGTCCGGAGGCCGATACCAAAGCGTCACCACCTCATTAGAGTATGTCTTAGTGGGCACGGACTTGGCCCTCGCCAAGCCTGTGGAGAGCATTAATAAAGTTAGACGCAAAAAAACAGGAAATTCATGAAAAAGAACAAGGAATATAGCAATTAAAAATATTTACACTACCCTACCGTTCAACAGTTAGGGGTCACATTGAAATGTCCTTATTTTTGAAGGAAAAGCACCGTACTTTTCAATGAAGATAACTT